CTCTTCCCAGTCTGGTGCAGGTCTACAATACTTTTCCTGGTGTCCTTCGAAAGCTCTTTGGTCTTGGCCATGGCGGAGTTTGGAGTCTGACTGTTTGAGGCTGTGGACAGGTGTCTTTTATACAGATGATGAGTTCAAACAGGTGCCATTCATACAGGTAACGAGTGGGGGACAGAAAAGCTTCTTACAGAAGACGTTACAGGTCTGTGAGAGCCAGAGATTTTCCTTGTTTGAGGTGACCAAATACTTATTTTCCACCCTAATTTACGAATAAATTCTTTACAAATCCTACCATGTGGATTCATGGATTTGTTTTTCACATTCTGTCTCTCACAGTTGAAGTGTACCTCTGGTGCAAATTACTGACCTCTGTCATCATTTTAGTGGGGGAACTTGCACAATCGGTGGCTGACTAAATACTTTTTTGCCCCACTGTATTAGTATAGCAAGCTGATTTTTATTGTCATATTGAGAGTAACGCGTTACTAAGCATCACTGTATATATATATATATATATAGATGTAAATTGGTCAATTTATTGTCATTTACATTAATACTAGGGGTGCAACGATATTCGTATCGATATTGAACCGTTCGATACAGTGCTTTCGGTTCGGTACGCATATGTATCGAACAATACAAATTTGTAATTTATTTTATCAACTTTCCTTCTGACGATGCTGTCTGTGTGGAGCGCTCAGTGAATCTGCGTTCGACTACTCCGCCTAGGCTGCACTGTCGAGCGCAGATCCACTGAGCGCTCCACACAGACAGCATAGACAGAAGGAAGAGCGCAGGGCACCTCCCCCACCCTCCCCCACCCTCATTCAGATCTGGCGTTTGGAATTATTTTGGTTTTCATGTGACGTATGACCCTGAAGGTAAGCACGTCATGGACTAAAGTAAAACAGTATGTTGGATGTGCCATGCAATGCTCAATTACATGGGTGGGAACTAGTGTGTTTCTCTTTCTATAGTTGGTTGTAAATAAGATGTTTGATTTAACAGATTTGTTTTCCAGGATACAGGTTCCAGGTGGAGCTGGGAGTTAAATGAGCTTAACATGTAACTGCTGACTGATGTTTTTACACAAGCTTACAGGTTGGCAGGAGATTGTTTTAGAGAGAATGTGTAACGTTCTTGTATAGGTCTCAGTGGGGAGACCCAGAGGAGGTGAGTATCATAAAGTGTAAAGGTCACTCCTCGGGGACTGGCATGGTGGCCAGAGGAAATCAGGAAGCCGATCGAGCTGCGAAAGAGGCAGCAGGCTATAAAGCACTACGGCAGATGGTACAAATAAGTGTGGAGGAAGAAGTAGGAGTCAACATGTTGGAGGAGGCCAGGAAGGCCCAAGAGGAGGCGGCCCCGGAAGAGAAGGGGGTCTGGAAGAGTCAAGGAGCATGGGAAGGAGGTCTCTGGCGAGGACCTGACGGACGACCGGTGTTGACTGTCAACCTAGCGGAACAGAAGATTGCAGAAGCAAATGGGCTTGGCCATGTGGGTGTGGCCCAGATGGAGAGACATCTGTGCCATTGGTGGCATCCCTTTTTGAGGGATATGATTAAGGAAAAAGCTAGGACGTGCCTGATCTGTGGGAGGCACAATCCAAAGCCAGTGATTAAACCAGAGGCAGGTAAGTTCCCCATTCCAGAAAGACCAGGGGAAGAGATTGTCATTGATTTCACTGACATGATCGACGTGGGACCGGGAGGAGTCCGGTATTTGCTGGTAAGTGTGGATGCTCTGACGGGGTGGCCCGAAGCGTGGCCAACAAAGAGGGAGGATGCAAAAAGTGTGATTAAGTGTTTAATCAATCATTACATCCCCCGGCATGGTTTTCCCAAAAGAATTAGGTCAGACAATGGAACTCATTTTAAAAATAAAGATTTGGCAGAAGTAGAACAGAAGCTGGGGTTGCAGCACCGATTTGGGACGGTGTATCATCCTCAGTCCCAGGGGAAGGTGGAAAGAATGAATCTAAACCTGAAAAACAAAATAGCTAAAATTTCTGCTCAGACGGGGCTAAATTGGGTTGCAGCCCTGCCAATTGCATTGATGATAATAAGATGCTGTGTTAATCAATCCACAGGTTTCACACCATATGAGCTGTTGACAGGACGACAGTTTCCAGGTCCTTGGACAACAGTCCTGGCGGAAGAGAGTATAAAAAGTAACAGAAAGCATGCGGAATGTTGGAAAGAATTAAAAGCTCTTGTGTCTAGTTTCACACAACAGGTTGGAGTGGGGGTGAATGCGGTGGACAGGTCCGTCCCCGACGCCAAGGCGGTGTGGCTGAAGGTCATTAAGCGAAAGTGGAGAGATCCGAGGTGGACGGGGCCATTCGAGGTGACGGCTCGTACCACCAGCGCGGTTCGGTTGAAGGGAAAGGGTGAGACCTGGTTCCATTGGTCTCAATGTGCAGTGGCGGACGAGAGCTTACTCGAGATAAGCTCCACCCAAAGTAACACGGGGGGGAACATAGAGGCAGAATAATCCTCTCCCCCTGTGCAGCGGTTCTCCCCATCTCCCACCTGGGGAGACGAAGAAAGAAGAGGAGCGTCACGCGCCAAGCATCAATTCATTCCAGGCTCCTGATAGGCTAGGGCTCTAGTCTAAAATAATTAAGAGATTAAAGGAATCGTAATAGTTTTGTACGTTAATCGCATACTTTTATACTCATAACCTTATACTCTTATCACGAAGTTTAAAGTAAAGGTAAAAAGAGCCTGGGAACAGTGATCATGAAACTGTGGGAAAATTGGAAAATAACAGGGGTGCTGGGGTTGATAAGTGTTATAACGTGTTTATTTGTTTTGGCCTCGCAAGCGAGCCCAAGAGGAGGAGTTGTCAGGTCAAGGAATGTTATTTTACTGTCACTGTATTATTATTCACATGTACGGTCATTATTTCATCATTACTTCATTAGTCTGCATCACTTATCATCAGTTTATCATCAATATTATCATGTATCATTTATCATTTAGTAAATCTGCTAACGGTGTTTGCTGAGTGATCTTGTATCCCTTGTATTCCAGAGCATGCAGAATAAAACACATTCTAGATATAATACTCTATCATGCATAGCACCAGCATAGCTGTAGGTCCAGGCAGCCCAAGTCAGATAAGGACACCGAACTTTCGTTGGCCTGGACCTACACTCTCACAAAACTGCACACTCGTGTACACAATTGTTTATGCTGCCAAATACCGATGATTGGAAACATCTGGTTTCAAGCCTGGGAAAGTGTTGTTGTTCTGAGAAGAGGAGGTCCAGGAATTGTCTTGACGTCATAATGGCTATAAAGCTTTCTGTAACAAGCAGAGAGGCGAAGACCGTAGTGCTTCCCACACTGTGTAAACTGTGTGTGTTTAATAAATCACTTTTTAGACACCTCCGAGGACTCTGTCTGCACTTGTTTTTCCTTCCAAATCAAAAGAACCTTACAGAGCCTATCTTCACCACATATAGGTGTTTTAATAAAATAATTTGTGTTGACCCACTATGGACTTTCAGTCGTATGTCTCTTCCTCAAAATTTGAACCGCGACAGAAGTCACGCACACAGAGAGACACATTCTCACACATTCACTCAAACACACACACACACACACACTCTCACATGCATACACACACACACATACACACATTCTCACATACACACACACACGTTCTTGCACATGCATATAGATATTTACACATACACACACATAGTGCCTTGTCTTAGAACCATTGGGGGGGTTTACGGTGGGAGGTGCTTTTGCTGTGGTGTGTATTGTTTGAACTGTTTTCCCAATAAAAGGCAGCAAGCGGAGGCCGGATTTGGGGTCATTTTGTGGTAGGATACGAAGTGCGTTCCTGAGATACTGACGAGGCCTCCCTTGCAAGTAAATTGATTGTCTTGTGTTCTTCATGATGAATAAGTCTCTAAACTAGCGGGGCTTGTGGAAACACAGACCCAACAATAACAAAGAGAGGGAAGGTAGTCAGAAGTAAGGGGGATCGAACTAGGCAACAATGCAGACATAAAGGACCACTACAAATACCTGGGGATCCCACAGGAAAATGGAAACCATGACGAGGCTGCTGACAAAGCTGCAACCACCAAGTACCTGCAGAGGGTCAGGCAAGTCCTGATGAGTCAGCTGAACGGTAAGAACAAGATCTGGGGTATCAACACTTACGCCCTGCCCATGATTAACCCTGCTGGGACAATAAGCTGGGGAAAGGAGGACATAGAAGGCCACTGACATCAAGACAAGGAAGCTCCTGATCATTCATGGAGGGTTTCAGTCCAAGTCCAGCACCCTGAAGCTGTATGCTAAATGGAAGGAAGGAGGCCGGGAACTGGTGAGTGTTAGCACCACGGTCCAGGATGAGACAACAAATATCAGGAAGATGGCCCCAACAAACCACGTGCTCACGTTTACCATACCAGGCAAGACCCCAGGTGAAGGCTGTGTAAAGATGCCCCTGAGACAATCCTGCACATAACAGCAAGATGCAAGATGGAACGCCATAACCAAGTGCCCGGATGGTTGGACTTTAACAAGGTTCCAAGTAGAGCTTCAACATGCATAAGAAGAAATAGGAGTGAGACAAAACTTTTTTGTGAGCTTGCAATTTATTATGTGCAGTGCAGCGAGGAGCGCTTGGACCTCTACGTTGGAGCAACCAAATAGCCACTCCATAAATGGATGGCGTCAACATATAAGAGCCCCCTCGACACAACAAGACTCAGCTGTACATCTGGAGCTAAAGGATAAAGGACACTACCAATGTTCATACTTTGGACCCAGAGGACAGATGGTTTGAAAACAAGTAAAATAGGCCATCTATGTCCACTGTGAATGACAATCATTGAACAGCCATCTTCAGGCACTATCACATTGAAAAACTGCCTGGTGAGATGACAGCAAACCCGATCAGCATTTACAACTGAGTGATAAAACTCTTTGCTTAATGTGCTCATGGACCAATGTATATATTTAAGTTATGTATACCTGAACAGTAGCATGAGAGCCTGAAGGAATGTGCGGAAGTTGTTGTGGTGATTTATAGCTGTATCCTCATTCAGCTCAATGTTGCCAAACACCTAGAGCAGAAACATGGATTCAGGCCACAATATTGTAATGGTAAATTACTGCATGAATATCACATTCTCTGACCGAGTAGCATCACACACCTGCATTCCAATGATGGCGTAGATAAAGAACAGCATGGCAATCAGTAGACAAACATAAGGCAGGGCCTAAAGGCAACAACAGGAAACAAAACGTATTTCATTTTAAATACCCACTCTGAGTTCTTCTAGGCAGTGTAGAAGTGTGTGCAGGAAATTGCTGTATGTGGCTTTGGAAGTGTACAGAAAATGTGAATATCAGGGCTAGTCAAGAATGTGTAAGCATTGTACTGTTTATGAGCACCTTAAAAGACTGAACAAAGGTCCACAGCAAAATGCGGATGGTGTATCCCTGCCTCAGCAGCTTTATGAGTCGAGCAGCTCTAAAGAGCCTCAGAAAGCTCAGGTTGAGCAGCCTGTCCTGTTAGACACAGATAAGATAGGGAGCACTTACCCACCAAATATCATTGCTCAATGTTAAACACACTTATGGAAGTCAGCTGGTTACAAACAATCACATGTGGCAAAAGCATACAAGGTCAATACATTCAATTTCGCTAAATGCTGTTCATCACAGTGCTTTAAGAATTATCACTAAAAGGGGGCACAAAGGTTTTCCAGATGGCTCCATTTACTCATAACCTTAGACAACAGTGCACAGACTGGTTGACAAAGGAGCAAAGGAAGCCTCCTAGTAAACACACCTATGGTACCAATTTTGAAATCTTTTGTGACCTTGTTCTCAAGTTATTACATTCACAAGATTTTCAGAAAACTTTCTCTGATCTTGAGGTTAAGGTCACCGGGAGTGAATGGTAAATTGACTGGTTCTTATTTAGCGCTTTTCTACTCTGAGCACTCAAAGTACTTTATACAACTTGTACATTCACCCAAGCACTTTTTTCTAAGCTGGTTCTTATTGCTTACTATCTAACATTCACAGGCATTCATACTCCAATGGATGCATTGGAGAGCAACATGGGGTTAGTATCTTGACCAACGACATTTGACATGCAGACTGGGATTGAACCGCAAATTTTCCAGTTTGTAGGTGACCTCCTCTACCACCGGAGCTACAGCCACCCAGAGTCAAACTTGTCCAAGGTATTTAGTAGATCCACCGATGTTATCAATTCAAAAATCCGAGGTAACGTCCTTTTTATTTATCACATTCACGACATTTTCACTGAGATTCAAACCTGTCTAAGATTTTTAGATACCTAAATGACATCAATTTGAAGCAGAAAATATTTTTTCTCATGGGATCAGTTTCTTGATCATTAATACGCAATTATCATGACCATCAACGACTAGGGATGGACCGATCCGATATTACGAATCGGTCCGATACAGACCTAAATTCCTGAATTGGATATCGGAGAGAAATAAAAAAATGTAATCACATCCATTAAATATCACAAAAGCACCTCACAAAATGAGAGACATGACATAACTCAGCTCATAACCTTAGGGAGCAGTATGCGCCTCTTCTCTCTCCCTCCCTCTCCTGTTGCTACTTCAATCATGAAACTGATCAATGATCAGCTGATCAGTTTTTCTTTTGCGACTCCCGTCTCTCTTGTTTGTTTTTGGCCCACTTTGCACCAGAAAGAGGAAACCAGCGGCTGAACAACAGCAGCACGTTTAAGCTTGATAAGCTGTTGTTAGAATTGTTAGAATTTATTTAATATTACTTTCTACAACAGGATCCTTTTTTATGTAGCTAATGTAAGTCTAATATATACCCTAGTAAGCTATAGTACTTTTTCCTTTGGTAGGGTACCATCTGTGCAGTCTGCAATTCTGTTGAAGAAAGATGTTGAATCTATTAAATTATTGTATAAAAATAATTGATTTCTGTGTTTTTTGGTTTTGTTTTTGTTTTTGTTTTACATGTGCATTAAAGTTAATTTAATTGCGCCAATTAAGCAAGTATGGGGTGATTCCCCATACTTGCCAACCTTGAGAACTCAGAATTAGGGAGACATTCAATGGATGTGTGTGTGTGTGTGTGTGTGTGTGTGTGTGTGTGTGTGTGTGGATATATATACACATATTGCAAAAACTTGAATTTTACAGTGTTTATTTATTTAAAACTATTTATTTAAAGTATGTTACATGTTCTTAGCCTGGATACCATGGCTATCAAGTACTGATGTCCCCTAATATGTTTTTGTGAAGTCTAAAGACAATCCAAAAAATATTGTGGGTAAAATAAAGTTTACTGACTTAAGATGCAGTTTAAATCTTGCTAGAAGTTCATTAGACTGCTAGCAAGATGTAAACTGCAGGTTTATAGGGTTTCTTTTCCCTACATCACCAGCATGAAAATGTTTTTATCATAGGACAGTTTTATTTACAGAAACCCACTCACCGTAGTCTAGTGATGTTTTTGGACCATGGCATGCCAACACCATTGACGACAATCAACAACAAATGTGTAGAATGACAGAAAGAGTTGGGAAAGAGAGGCAAGAGAACACAAACAGTCATATTGTACAGCATAAACTGATAACAATCAGCAAATAATCGTATGCAGATACATATACACACATGTGTACAGAGATATACTTATAGTATAGTATAATAAAGATATACTTATAGTAGACTGAAAAGTCTGGAATAAATAAAGAAACTACCCACAAAATATGCAAAAACACTGTAAAATATAACTCAGCCAAATATCACACATTGAAGGTTACTCTCTAATGTGGATTCAGAAAAACACCTGTCCTGTAATTATTGCATCGTATCAAAACATTACTACCTCAAATCCTTTCCTTTTCCCCAGCTATATAGCCTCTGTCACGACTCTGCCATGTGACTGACCACTGGCTAGTTAGCTTGCTTGCTAAGCCCCAGTTAATTTTCTAAACTGCAGTGTTTTTATGTATCCCATGAAATATTTAAGTGAGAGTGAGGTGGGTGGGAAAAAGTGCTCTTACATTGATTTCCGTCACCAGGATGTCAGTAATGCTTCCCAACACTGTCACAAAGTCAAACACGTTCCAAGCATCCTTTAGGTAGTTCTGAAGAAAAAAAGCAAAAAAACAAAAAATAAAATCAGGAGCTGTGCTTTACCTTTAAGAGTATTTAGAGTTGCTTTATAATGACTACCCACCAATGGCCCAAAAGCAATGATCTTGAGAATACATTCCAGAGAGAAGAGAGTGGTGAACACTATGTTGAGGTTCTTTAGCATTACTTCATAGAACTCTGGAGCTCCATAGAACTACAAGAGAAGGGCAAATGAGACGTTAAGGCACATTTTAAGGTGACGAATAACGATTAGCTTAGTGTGTCAGGCTAATACATTCCTTCTATGTCCATTATATGGAGACTATACCCCATAGTGCTTAAAATATGAAAATCTTGATACAGATGGAAGGAAAGTGGACAATACATGTAGAAAGGCTAATTTATAACATATCCTGTTCTCAAAAACTGACATAACTATAACTCTGGACTCAAGAAATACGTGCTTAAAGGTTTTAAAACATGTGACATCACCGGGTTGGTTAGTTGCTAGTAATAGACTGACACTGTTTGTGTTAGCTAACTACTAACAAAAACAATAACTCAGGGTAAATAAAGGACACTAAAACTAAAAATCAGTTTAAGTGGATCACTTTTGTGCTGCCCTTTGCTGCAACCATGAATTTTAAGTTAAAACTAAGGATACACTATTCACTTTTCTCTGACTGTTAAGCATTCAGTGGCTCTCTGTTGTCTGGCTAGTTGCAGTGAAACAGAAATTCCGCCTACCACACATATTAACCAATTTTTCCTGCAGATATGCTGATGTATTTCCTGATTTTGCTTCAGTAAAAAAAAAACACAGTTATGTTTGTGATGTGATGTGAATGTATTAATCACTAGTGTAAACTGTTTGGATCTGCTTGGGAAAAGAAAGATTGTTTTATTCCATAAAATACCACTTATCGCATCACCTGATTGTGCTGCTTTGAACACCCTGCTAGATGAGGAAAATAAAGAGTTTTTGACTCTAGCTTGTTGGCCCGGTAAACCACCTGTCACCTGAATCAAACGGGCTGTCTTCCACATTGTCCTTATTCAAAACGTTTTTTACAAACCTGTACCTTAAGGCTAACAGGTGGATTTTCCCATGTCAGTGTAGCTAGTCAGACAATGAAGAACTGGGTCTGATGCTAGTTAGCTAACAGAAACTAATTCAGTTAGCTAACTGATTCTACTAATCGCATCTTGGCGAAATCACGTTCTGTACAAGATGCCACTAAATTAAACATGTTCTAAAAACTTTGCGCGCATATTTTTAAAACATCTACAAAAACAGTGCTACATCTATGTTAGTTTTTAAGAGCAGGTCTCAATGGTATAAATTAGAAAAAATTTGAAATTCACACGTAGAAATGAAAGATTCAAGGTGGGGGTAGGGTTTCATCAGGGATTACCTCCGGGCCCCTTTGTGTTTGACTATTATGGGACTATTATCCCTCCAAAACCCCATCCCCTTGGGACTGTGGCTACGTCAACAGTCGCAAGGAACAAGAAACACAGGAACAAGGAACACAGTCCCACAGGAAAACCACCGAGTTTTTTAAATGGACTAACAATGAGGAGGAGTTGTTGCTGCGAGTAACACAAAAGTACAAAGTTGCAAAAGCGAGTGAGAATTAAAGAATTTGAAGAAAAGCTATCTGGAGCATGTACAGACTGATATCAATCTTTAATAGGGCTGTCAAAATTGAGAGCAAACAAAACAACTGCTGTATAATGCCCTCCGCTTTCTCTGTTTAATTGGACACATGACTGCATCATATGACTGACATGCGTCATCGTTTTATAAAGTCTGCGTCCACACTGCAACACGAAAGCAACGTTTTCAAATGTATGCATTTTATAGAGCACTTTCCATGAGTGAAAACGTTGTCTCAGTGTGGACGGGAGGCCAAAACGGAGAGAAAACTATGCGTTTTCAAACAAAAACGCATTAGTGTGGAAGTAGCCTGTGTCACCTCCCAGACCACCAAAAACAAAGCACAAATTAGCAAAAAAAGTTTTAAACAAAAATTAAAAGACAGAATAGAATGTACAACTGCAGCAAAGAGTAAAACACTAGATTGTTAAACATTCTCTTCTGTACAGTAACAGTACTGTACAGTCCAGAAAAAGCATTAGTCAAGGTTACAATCTTCTTATGGCCTCAGACAGTGGACAGTGGTCTGTGTTATTTAACAGTCCTATTTTTTGTAAATGGAGAGTCCTCTTCACACACTAAGGTTAATTATGGTGTTCAACAGGGTTCAGTGCTAGGATCAGTTCTTTTTACCTTAAGCTGGGCATACACTGTGCAATTTTTTCAATCGCGTTATTCAGCTCCTGCTCAAACTGTATGATTGACTCTCAGGGGTTAGAAGTTCATAGAGAACAATGCAGGGTCTCACACTATACGGCCCGAGTGCTCACACTTGCGTGTGTCTAACACGAAAGTTATAACACAAAATCTGTCTCTCGCTCTCCCTTTCACTCACACATAGACACATCCACCACCACCATCAATGTTGCTAAATTGCTAATGAAAACTAGAAAATCCATTTTCTGAAGAAACTGCAGTGTGATTGCTGATAGCTGAATGTTTTGAGCTGAAATGAAATAAATGCTGAATTTAAGTAAAAAAAATGTTTAATGAGATGAAAAATACAGAATTATTCACCTGAAAACAAAAGTGCAGAACTGCTAAAGGCTGATGTTAACACAGAAGAAGTTTGAAAGCAGTTTTGAGTCACAAAGCATCTGAATGAATATTAAAAGTTCATATTCTTTTAATCACCAAATCACTGAAATGTGGGAGAACTCACTACAGAAAGATCAATGCTGTAAGTTTTAATGATCCAGTCAGAAAGGATGATTCTTAAAGTCATCAACTGACTCCAAATGCCCAGGTTTGAACCACCTATCTGCTAAAAACAAATCCACCAATCAAACAGAAGCCTGAATTTCATGGGCCAATCAGAATGCTTGATCCAGTTGTTCAGGACTAACTACTGATATACAACTACTCTGTGGCAAAACCCTGTCAAATTTGCCTCGGTGCACCTGTTGAACAATTGCTTCTAAATCCAAGACCCTAACTCCCATCAAAATCATTTTCAAAAGGTGAATATCCCGAGGACCTGTTCTACACAACTAATAGTTATGTCTATAACTTCTGTTCCCTGAAGGAGAGGAACAAGGTACAACACATAAGTATGGGATATCACGCCCTTGCGTGTCCTGGCTGAAGAAATCTTTATTCACACCTTTAAGGCAGATGACGCGCACGGCCCCACCTGCACATATAGCCGCTGTCATCACAGTCATCCCTCAGTTCAATAGCCGTTCTTCACTGAGCCAAACTGCTCAGTGGGGCCACCTTGTGTTGTACCTCGTTCCTCTCCTTCAGGGAACAGAAATTATAGACATAACTATTCGTCCCTTTCAGTCGATTCACTCGGTACAACACATAAGTATGGGACATACAGTGGGGCAAAAAAGTATTTAGTCAGCCACTGATTGTGCAAGTTCCCCCACTTAAAATGATGACAGAGGTCAGTAATTTGCACCAGAGGTACACTTCAA